TCTGCTTTTTCTTGCGAGTCTGAATTGCTTTCAATTTTGTGGGCACTGATTGACTTGTTGTGGTATGTGCCGTGGAGTCAGTTCCGACTCATAGTGACGTTGTACAGGGTTTCCGAGGCTGTAAATCTTTACGGGAGCAGAAAGCCTCATCTTTCTCTCACGGAACAGCTGGTAGTTTCGAACTGCTGTCCTTGCGATTTGCAGTCTGATTCGTAACCACTATGCTACCAGAGCTCCTTGGTTGACTAGGTAAAGAAAATAATGAGTCCTTGTCAGGACTGTAGTCATTAATAGGTGAGTCAGCTCAGTTCTTGGAGCTGGTTCACACCTTGCTGTAGCACAGTTTGGCCATCCATCCTTCAGGGGGGCCAAGCAGCAAGGAAGTCCTAGCAGCCCTGTTGTTGTTGTTATGTGCCGTGGAGTTGGCCACCCTGTGTAGGGTTTCTGAGGCTGTAAATCTTTACGGGAGCAGAAAGTTTCATCTTTCTCCCACGGAACAGCTGGTAGTTTCAAACTGCTGACCTTAAGGTTCACAGCCCGATTCGTAACCACTACGTTACCAGAAGTACTTCTAGCAGCCCTAGCACCTAGATAAAAAAGGTAGAATAGTTCATGTCACAGGCTCTGCCTGGCTTCTGGAATCCTGGCTCTGTTGCTTACTGGTTAAGCAGTTACTAGGCTTCTCTGAGATATGTATTCCTCTGTAGAATGCTATTGTTATTGTTGAGTGCCATCAAATCAATTCCGACTCACAGCAACCCTGAATAGGGTCCCCAAGGGGTAGCTGGTGGGTTTGAACTGCTGACCTTGCAGTCCAAACTGACCTTGCATTCCAGTGCATATCCTATATAGTGCCACACCAAGAATGACGGGTCTTAATAGTGCGTCAGCAAGTAGCTGTGAGGATGTAGTGAGTCTGTACAAGCAATGGATACATAGAAATAACAGTTCTAACAATGCACTCAGACATGCCAATGATCATGAGGACAACACAGGAGAGGCCAACATTTCTCTCTCTTATATGTAAGGTCACTGTGGGTCTGAGCCAACTCTTCAGCAACTAACAACAACACATAGAGTAACTGTACAATGAATACTGCCCCTTATCACTGCCATTATCATTTCTGCCTCAGACTTTAGTGGACCAGTTCCTTGGGTGGCACAAATGGTGAAGCTCTTGACTACTAACCAAAAGGTTGACAGTTTGAACCCACCCAGAGATACGTACCTTGGACAAAGACCTCTCCATCTGCTTCTGAAAGGACACAGACTTGGAAACCTTACGGAGCCGTTCTACTCTGTGCACATGAGGTCCCCATGAGTCGGAATTGCCAGCTAGTTGAATGGAAGCCTTGGGAAGTTTCACCTATCATATATGTTTACTCTTAATTCCTTCTTTGATTACCTGAGAAGGTTTGGTGGTGATTCTTTTCCTTTGTCCACCATACTCTGTATTGGGCATACCCTCTCCCACACTGGACATGAGCCAAAAATGTGGTTGAGATGGGCAGATTCCAGAGTGTTTTCAAATCTCGCAATACTGCCTTCCTTCCTGTCAGCCAGCGGTTCTCTTCCAGGTGCTCCTCTTAAGTTCTCATTCACTATAACTGGTAAAACCAATCTCAGCCTCAGTGGAAAGGAGTTTTTTTGTTTTTTGTTTTTTTAGCATATCCATCTATAGGAAGGCTGGAATAACTGGACTATCTCCTAAGAAATATTTCCACTAGTATTTGAAGTCCACAAACTTAAGTTAGATTTAAGAAAATGTTCCCTGAGACAATCATGGGTTTTCTAAAATCCTTGGTTCTGACTTTGGGTTGTTTACTACTATAGGAAGCACATACACACTTAAATGATCCCATCCTGTCTTCACAATCTGCAGATGATTAAACTGTAGATAATTTAGAAATTTACCTTCCAGGGGATAGGGTATTTCGAATTCTCCTCTCTCTCACTCAGCTCTGGTAGCGTAGTGGTTACAAATCGGGCTGCGAATCTTAAGGTCAGCGGTTCGAAACTACCAGCTGCTCCGCGGGAGAAAGATGAGGCTTTCTACTCCCGTAAAGATCTACTCCCGTAAAGATTTACACCCTCGGAAACCCTGTACAGGGTCGCTATGGGTCGGAACCGACTTGATGGCACTTAACAACAACAACAACAACTCACTCTTTAAAGAATGTATTAAGTTACTATACCGTATTCTCACTTGGTTCCTACTTATTATTTCATTGTCAAGATTCTGTATGGTGCCTAAGTTGTGATTAAAGAGAAGTGTTATCAAATGTCAGTGTGTGGATGAGATCTGTAAGGTCTGGGGGTGGGGAGGAGAGGTTCTTTAAATGGAGATGTCAGCTCTAGCCAATTTCAGCTCTCGCCAATTTCAGAATGGCTCACCATGAAGATTGATGGTGCCAAAGCTGTGTGCCTCTGCTGGAAATTAAAAACCCATGGAATAACTGATTATGATTAATTTTAAGTACTTAGCTGTGTGAAGCCAAATGAGTGCGTCTTTAAAACAAAGCTATTGATCTGGCTTTATTTGGACTCAAGAAGATAAACTAATCAGATCCTGTCAGCTCTTTGCAATGACAAGGAATGAGAATTCTCCCAGCCTCACCTCATTGCAGATTGTTATATAGCTTGGAACAGACTTGACAGCATTAAGTTGGTTTTTTGGGTTGAGGTACTTAAGCCTTAAGTTTGAGAGACCTGGTGTACCAATATATATTTTTTAAGAGCAAAAATCTGAGGAAAGAGGAGCTGTCCAATTCTGCCCCAGAAAGGAAGTTGAGAGAGATACATACATAGATGGGAGAAATTTCCAGTCAAAATAGAAGAAAACCCAAAACCAGTTCCTGTCAACTAGATTCCAACTTATGGCAACCCCATTTGTTCCAGAGTAGAACTGTGATTCATAGGGTTTTGTTGGCTGTAATCTTTATGAACTCTTTTCTGCGGTACTGCTGCATAGGTGTGAACCATCACCTTTTCACTTAGTTATTGAGCATAAACCATTTGGCCATCCCGGGAAAGTTAGGCTACTAGAAAGGACAGTGCTAGAGAGCACCTTCTATGTAGCACATAAGTTGTCTCTTCTTAAAGTTAAGGAAACAGAAGCTCAGAGAGCGTGAGAAGTTAGCTCAAAGTCCCACAGTCTGTGGGATTCCACACCCAGGTGTGTGTGACTGTAAAGCTCCCTCCTCTGCCCAGGACCACCTTCTTGGCTGAGGCATGACCACACCACTCCAGTACCAAGAGCTTTCATGTGGCTGTCAAGCCATTGCAGCTGTTTCATGGCAGTTGGTGACTTCCATTTCCCAGTCCCTTCCCAAGGAATTTTCCTATCATTCTCATTTTTTCTTGCAAGGGAGTACAAAGGTGATATGTTCCTAACATCCTTTTCTACAGAGGCTTTTTTTCCCCCCAGGCAGAGAAAATCATGCCTCACCTTCTCAGCCCTAGACTCCCGATTACTAAATTTGGGCTGGCATCTTCTCCCTGGCAGGCTAGCATTTGTTGCCTGTTCCGGGGTCAGAGTTTGGGTGAGGAGAGACCATCCATCTTAGGAATGACAACCTGACCTCCCTGGCTGTGAGTCTTGCCTTTTCTGGACCAGGAATTCTCGGCTTTCATCACATTTCAAGCAGCTTGCAGCATCAGCATCCCCTCTCAATTCCCGTGATTCCTCTTGGAATCACCGTCCTCTCAATGATGTAGAGATGCTATTGCCTATAGGACTAGGTGAAAAGGAAGGTGGGAAGAGGACCTCCCTTCCCTCCTTTGTCCTTCATGTACAAAGGAATGCTCATATATTCATTCATGCATTTGTTTGGCATTCATTCATTATTCTGGAAGTCTGAGATAGGTTACCCGTAACTATGTAATAATAATAAAAAACAAATTTAGGGGGATGCTCAACAAATCCTACTTTTTTTTTCATTCCCTGGAGAGAATTTTATCACCTGAATTCTTTTTAGAACCAAGTAATTCTAGAACTTGGCAAGGGGACATTACTTCTAAGACATGGCAATCAATCCCATTCATTTTACAAATAAGAAAACTGAGGCTTGGAGACATAGAGGAACTTGCCCAAGGTCACCCAGCTCATTAGTGGTGGAGTTCAGGACTAAACCACAAGTCTCCTGACGCAAGTTTTACTATGATTCACTGCCTTCCTCTGGGTGTTTCCTCAAATCCGGGAGAGCTCAAAGTACAGCTTTTTGGGAGGACAATCAAAATGCTTTCATACACAATTCAACTTTACTTTGAATGACCCCAAGATGACTTCCAGTAGTCTTCTCCCCTCCCCCAGACACTAGGTTTCCATAGTTTGACCCATCTGAAAATCTGGAATGGAAAAAAGATAGCTACACATTTTTTTTCTCTCCACCAGGTATCAGAGTATGGCTATGGGAGGGGGACATTGCTTCATGTCTATGGGGGTGTTTTTTTGTTCATTTGTTTTTCTTGCCTTTCTCTGCCACTTTAAGGTTGCTGCTTAAAGTTTGAATGTAAAACCCTATGTGAGATCCCAGATGCAATTGCAATAACTGGAGTTTACCAGGTTGTTTGACATTTTCCCCTGTCCTGTGCCAACGTCCCTTTCTATCTAACCCCTCTTATGTCTCCCTGCCTGCCCACACTCACACAGACTCTCCCTGGATGCTCCATCAGGCGCTGGGGGGCTACTCCTGCCCATCTGCTTCACACAGCAACAAATGTAGCGGGAGCATCATTGGGGAGAAAGGACTCAACTGAGACTTAATTAGCAGGAACCCCAGTTCATGGGAGGTGAGATATCACACTTTGCTGCCTGCAAACACTTTGGCCAAGGTGAGCCGGAGGGATCTCCCCGTTCCCAATTTTAATAGCACTGCAGCAGAATACACAGAGATGCATCCCTACAAAAGCCCCTGCATACACACTCCCCCTCTTTCCTCCTCACCCGGACACACACATGCTCCTACACACAAGGCAGCGAGATCGCAGAATCAACTCACAGGATCTCCAAATCGCGCAGCGCTCGGAAGGCTCCATCTTCAATGCAGCTGATGTGGTTGTTGTCCAGTTGCCTGTGGAAAAGCAAGGGGAGAGCATGAGGGCTGAGTGGAGGCAGCGCCGGGGAGCCAGGCAGCCCGGGCTGGGCGTCCCTGGCCACTGAGCGCCTGTCCCTCCACCCCCTTGCAGGCTCTGCTCATCCCCGCCAGGAGCTCGCCAAGCCAGCCTGTCTGCCACGCTGCTCCGTCTCTCCTCTCTGACTGTCTGAGAGAACAGCACAGACGAGCACACCAAAGGCTGTCAGGTCTCAGTAAATATTAATTGCGCATTTTTTTTTTTTTTTTTTTAGGCAGAAGGGAGTAATTTCATTACATTAGGGCATCCAATCCATTACGAGCTCTTACCGTCATGTCACTGAAACAATTTCATTAAGCTAAAGGCCTGTAAATCATCGGAGGTCACTGCTCTGCCCTCTGCGACCTCCCAGAATGCTTTCCTCCCCTCTCCCTCTCCCTCTTCTCCTTTTACTGGAAGTTGCAGTCTTCGGCTCTGACACAGTGCTAAATCTCAAGGCTTTATCTGCCCAAGAGCAGTGAGGGTACATGGGGAATATACCAATTCCAAATTAGACTCAACTAATCTAATTTTATAGTCTTTTTATTATTCTAAGCACCAAATGTCTGTGGTGGTTTGATACCTCCTGCTCTGTGATAGGGCCCATCTGGTAGGTCATTCTATGGAAGCATTTTCTGACTAAATACAGATTCCCTCAAACTGCACCAACTATCATCTACATTAAAGAAATCCTCTGATGGAAGCACTCAGAACAGGGAGTAAAAGGGAGTATCAGTATCGTTATTGCCCTAAAGATGTACCACTTACATTTATATTGGGCAGAATTAAATGTACCTATTTCAGCCTTTTAAAAATACTTCCCTTTCCATTGTATGAGTATGACAATGTTAATAATAATAATAAAAAAGACGTCTCAACTAATATACATTTCATCTGGGGACTGAGTAATTTTTAGTTGAAGGCTAAGTAAGATAAATTATATGTAAATCAAAATCTATATGGTATGTAAGTCAGGATATTTTCTGTGAAGGCACCCCAAATTAAATATTGTATATACAACTTGCTTTTTTTTTTTTTTTTTAAACATGTTGTACAGAAAGTGGTTATTAACACAAGATAGTCTATTGTACTTTGTCTGTAAAGCACATCACCGTCTTTGGCTGGGCTGTCTGAAGAAGTGAGGCCGTATTTAAAATACTCCCAAAGACTCCCCTCTTGTTTCTCTCAGAACAAATAAAGCCCTCTCAGGTGAAGTGATTTCCTATTACTAGAATTTTTGTTTGTAATTCTCGCTAACCTATCCCAAGACGACTTTCCATAAAAGCGGCAGCAGAGTTGCATAAGTCACCCTCATGAAGGACTTCATATTTTGTAGAAGAAAGGCAAGATTAAAATTAAAATACAATTAACATCAAAAAAAAAAAAAAAGATGGAGGATTACGAAAGTGCAGGTGAATGAAACATGAATAATTAGATCGACAATCATGTTTCACAACAGATGGCTTTCCTACGATATTATGGGGAATTGCATCATCTCAATAGAAACGAAACAAGAGTTAGACATTTAGAATTAAAAAAAACCCGAGGGAATGGGTATCTCAAGAAGCAGAGGCATTACTTAAATGGATGAATTCTGTATCTTTGACAAAATGTTCAGAGTTCTTGCTGATGTTCATGCACATGGAATTTCAGAGTCCTCCCTGCTCTGAATTCTCCGGGAAGCCTTCTGAACATTAGTTTGCTGAGCATCTTTTTCATGGGTTTCTTGCAAGTTTTGGGCTGCTGATTCCTGCAGAGGTTCTAATAACACAATCTAATACTGTGCCCAGCTTCTAGATTTATCATCCATTTAAGGGCCGATGAATCAACAACCCCTGCCTCACGCCAAGGCCACCAAACCTTACCAAGCACAAATGCAGTGGACTTCGCTTTTGGTTCCAAGAAACTTTTCAATGAAGCTGCTGAATTCGGCAAAAAACGGTACCATCCACCTAAGTTGAAAAGTATCTAAATCATCAAATTTGGAAGTCTGGGGTGGTATGTAGAGACTACAGCATCTGCTATTCTGCAGACGTTCTGAGAAGTCCAGTCTATTACTATATTATTTATTTGCTGGGTTTATGAAGCCTTTTCCATGCCTTTTCTTTCTGAAAGCATCAGGAACCAAACGGGATGCTTTAAATGTGCAAAATTTTACAGGGAAAAGATGGAATCTTCGGGGGAAAAGAGAAAGTCATCAGAAAAAAAGAGGAAAATGAAATGGTGGAAGGAGACTTAAAAAGAGGTACAAAAGATTTCTTAAAATCAGCTACTTAATATCCTTTTAGGGATTTTGCAATCCAAGAGACTGAAGCAACAGGGATAAAGAGTCTCAGTGGAGTGTCCTCATCACTTTAAAAAGAGATATGGCTAATACGCTATCAATTATATGATGTTTAAATATTTTCATTGGTGGCACAAGTTGACACATAGTTGTTTACTAGGAAACTGAATTTAATAAATACAAGCATCTCTCTGGGTGCATTTTGTAGGCTATTTAACAACATATGAAATGTATACCATTTAAAATATTTATGCTGAAGTGGGCTTTTCTAGAAGACATATATTATAGCCAAGATTGTCTCCTTTTATTCTCACTACAGATACATAAACAGGAACTTTACCGAATCTCGATCGTCTAAAGAGTCATTCTTATGATACAATATTACATAGCAATGTGATCCTTACAAAGGTCGTGGACAAATGAAACCTCAAAAGCTATTCCACATGTTAGATATAATATCTTCATAGCATGGAGAAGCAGAGTGTTTTGCTTTTTGTTAGTTTTGTTTTTAAGCCTAATTAATTGTCCACAATCATTTCTGATACATTGTGCAATAGTTAGTTCCCTAAAACAAGATAAATATGGACTTGGCTTATATAAGGTTTATTTTTCTTTCTAAAATTAGAAAGATGTGTGTGTGTGTGTGAAAAGCCTAGCTTTTCTTTGAGCGTGTCTGAGTAGAGCATTACTAAACACATAGAGAATCTTCCATAGCTGAGGCAGTGGTATTTCACTTATTTTGCTTACAGGAATTGATGGGACCAGAGGCCATCAGTGTGTGTTCTGTTTTCATGTCAAAGGTCCAGGGTATACTTTTGAAAGGACTCATTTAAATATCCTCTCTTAAACAAATCAGAAAGCCCCAAAGCCCACCTTGCATCCACGAATACCATCACTAAGGAAGTGATGTTCAAAAGGAAGTCAGCAGTCTTAAGATGCCTAATAGATCCCTGTCTATTTTTCCTTGACAATAGGAAGTGTTATTTCCCACTGCTATAGAAAATAGTTTATCTCATGCCTGCCACAGTACCAGGTCTTTGCAAGTAGTCACTAAAGATTGCAGAATAAGTCCTTCTTTTAGCAGTGACTTGGTCAGATGGAATGGCATAAAAACTGCGGGTCAGGAGTCATACTATCCTGGCCAGGGGCAGATTTACCCAATCAGCAAGGTAAGCCAGGGCTTTCTTGTGTTTACTAAGCTGTAGTGAACAATTTCACATGGGTTTCACCACATCTTTGACATGGTGAAAAACATATGATACTATTCACTACAGATAAATAAGTAAACACAAGTAAACCTGTGCTTACCTTGCTTACTGAGTATGTGGTCTCTTACAGGGACTGTAAGTTTGAAATGAGGCTTTGATTCTGTAGGAAAGTGCTGTGGTGTGAGAGAGCGAAAAACAGCAGCCAAACCTAGAAGCAGAATAGAATAGTAAGTAAACACAAGTAAGACACTTTGCCTATTGGATAATCTGACACTGTCTGTGGCCTTACAGATCTACTAGTAACAAAAATGTATATTGACCAAGTTTTCCCTTTATGTCCACATGGGGTTAAGTACCTTCTGAGCTTCCCAAGACCTAGGGAGCACTTGGGAAGGAGACTTGGAAAGAAATGAGCTCTCTATTTACCGCAGGGTAAAGAGAAGAAGCAGAATAGTCGTGGGTTGAGAGAAGACTATATTTTTGGAAGCAACATTTATTGTCCTTTGTTAGGTATTGGACATCTAAGCTCAATGTCAGTGATTCAAACTCACTAAACACTCCACGGGAGAAATATAAGGCTGTCTGCTCCTATAAAGATTGACAGTCTCGGAAACTCTATATAGGGGGGCTATGAGTCAGAAACAACTCTTAGGCAGTGGGTTTTTGTTTTTTATACAGAATACTGCGCTTGATTAACATTTTTCTGCTTATAAATAAATGGTGAAGTGGTAAAGCACTCAGTTGCTAACCAAAAGGTCTGAAGTTTAAAGCCCTAGTGGTTCCAAGGGAGAACAATGTGGGATGTGGTAGTCTGTTTTCCATAAAGATGGACAACCTACGTATACCTGTGAAAGGACTCATTTAAAGATCCACTCTTAAACAAATCAGAAAAGCCCAAAGCTCACCCTGCATCCAAGTATACCATAATTGGGACAGTTCTATCCTATCCTATAGCGTCACTGTGAGTTGGAAACCACTTGATTGCGGGGGGGTGGGGGAGGTTGCCTGTGAATAAGCGGAGAAATCCCAACATGTTAATAATATGAAATTAACTGCTTTAATCTCCCTGGGAAGCTCAGATTTTAGCAAACAATATGTTAGGATGGTTCTGGAGCCCATTCAGAAAGGAATCTTTGGTCGAGAAACAAATGCAGACTCCTTGAAAAGAGCTTTCTGCCTACGGTATCTTTATACTCGGAGATAAACAAGTCATAAAGTAAAGCCAGAGTGAGTGAGGCTTAAAATCATCTCCACAAATAGCAGACAGAGATCACACTTTTATAAGAATTCCCATTCATAAGTACTAAATCATAATGCATGTCTCTCAGTTACAATTTGAAAATTTGTCATTGAAACTAGATGAAAATACTTTTGTGGTTCAAAAATTGTCAGAAGCACATCTAACGCCTAGGTTTCAAACACACGTATACACACACATACAAACTGATAAAAACCGTAAGGGTAATTC